TAGCTTCATTAGTTGGCTAGCTATTCTCAACAGGCTAAGCACTAAAGCCTAGCAAAGAAAGTGAACACCCACCATTGTTGACACTTGTGTTCTATGCAATAACAAGCCAAAGACAAATGAGCACTTATTCTTTAAATGCAGCTAGACACAAAAGATCTAGAAAACACATAGTGCTATGGCAAGCATCCCCCTAACTGATTCATGGCAGGGTTTAGTGCATTGGATGGGGAAAAAGATCAATAGAAAGTCCCAGAAGAATACTCTTGTTAAGTTTGCATGGAATGCGGCAATGTACTACACATAGAGGGAAAGGAACAGGAGAATCCACCAAAAACATTTTAAAGCTAATAATGAGATTGTCTATGAAGTCAAGTTTGATGTAAGGTGCAAAATCTTGGGATTTGCTCAACCAAAGTCTTCTCCCTTGGCTATGGATATTGCTAAGCAATGGGGGTTGGAAGATGTTGTGATGTAATAGATTGGTGCAATTTTTGCTAGTTTGTTTTCGGGGATTGTATTCTTTATAGCAGCTAATTTGCTGCTTGCTATACAGTCAATTTTATGGACAATAAATTTTACATTTTATCCAAAAAAAAATATCTTTCATCAAAAAAATATTGATTTTTGGTCTATTCACAAACAAATTCCTAATTTTAATTTTGATATTTTTTAATAATAATGCTAACTTTTTAGTGTGTTTTATGTTTTTAAACTGCTAATGAGTCATTTGAATTCTTTCCTATATTTCTTTCTTTGACCAAATTTTCTTTTCATTCTTTTTACAACTTTTTGGTCATTTATATTGATTTTTATAAATATGAAAACCGTAGGTTTTTTTTTTTTAAGAAAAATGTCATGCAGCTCCTTTGTTCAATGAAGGAGAATTGAATCTAATTAAAGCGTAAAAGATGACTGACAATTTTAGAGAATTTAGATAATTTTAGAGGATCTAGAATAATCTTTGTGGAAAGTAATTTAGCTTACGAACTTCCTACGAAGTGGGAAAATGTAATAATTTAATTTTATTATATAATCTTTCATATTAAGTCATGTAATATGTTATCCCTTATGTTTTATATTTTTTTATATCAGTAATAAAGATTTCATTAAAGAGAGTACAAAGATACTTTAAAGCCTAACCCTTTTACAATTATTTCTCCTTGAACTGAAGTTGTTGGGTTGTGGCAGTGTTGTAATTTCTCTTTATTTTGAGAGCATCTTGGTTAAGGGTAGGATTTATAATCGACAAAAACGAAAAAGAGAAAAGTATCTTTAAATTAATATATGAGAAAATTTGTTTTTCAATTCATATTACATATTAAAAATGCAACCCAGGCATAAATATCTAGGTAACTTTAATTTAAACTACCAAAAATAAAAATTAAGGTGCCATTAATGTTAACATATGGGAACATTTTATTAAGAATACTTTGGTAAATTTATTATTGAAAAACACATTTTCATTAATACAATTTAATTTGTCAAACAAAAAAAAACAAAAAACAAAAAACAAAATGCATTCCTCCAAGGCAAAATCAAGGGTCACATGTACATGTTAGCAGCAACACTATTAAATTTTTTTCCAAATGAGTTGCAAAAAACTTATAACACCAAAAAAAAGATGATCAGCCACAGCTTGCCCAAATATGGAAATTTTGATTTATGAAAATTTAAAAATTTAAAACACTAAAAAGTCAAAATAAAACAATTAAAGTTGAGCAAATACATTTTTCACTTTCAATTTTTGTAATATGTTTTTTCTTCTTTTAAATACAAAATATATTGCAAACACACCTGTGGATTACATCCAAAATGCTAGTTCCAAAATGAACACTCAACCAACCAATACAATGGTTCCCCTGCCAGTGAAAAATGCCCTCTCTGTGCTCCCAAGTGAACATTCCTTATCTACTACTTCTAAAAGCAAAAGGCTAATCCCCTGAAGATACAAACAATTAAATACCAAAGCAAACCAGCACCTCAATACATATAAACTAGCAGCAGCTAGCTTTCAAGCGTTCAAGTGGTTGGGAACACCATTCAAAGAACAAGAAAAATTGGGCCCTTTACTTTTGCCTTCAACCAGAACCACAATCTAATTTTGAGTCCTCTGTCCAGCACCACTTATCTTTCGCATTTCTTTTTGAATATTTAGCTGCAATAAAGGACAATTAGTTCCTAAAGCAATTCTTCTTCCCATTGAAATAGGTTCCTCCATTGCCATTTTCAAATGCATTCAGAGGAGGAGTGAGCATTTTTTTAATGCAAATCGAGTATGATTTATATTTGGTACTTTGACTTAAAAATTTTTAGGTATAGCTTATTAGATTTAACACTTACCCACGTACTCAAAAACATGTATTTAGTGCTTAACCCAATAGATATAAAGCAACTTCGTGGTATATACTTATGTACTTAGCTTAAAAAAAAAA